ACCGTACCGCTTGCGGATCGGGTTTTACCATAAGGCGTATGCACAAGTCTGCGCAGCTGGAAAACTCCGGCAGGGTGGAAAGAAAGGCTTTCCTGGTGGGTCTACACCCCACGCGCAACCCTGGAACAAGTAGAAGCAAGCCTTGGCAACAAGTGGTTTAGTCAGCGTTGACGACCTGCTGGTGCGAAACGTGTGGTCGACCGCATCGGGGCCTAAGGTTGGGGTCCTCGCTCCACGTCGCCACTCAGCCCGGCTCGGCCGCTTTAGCCACAGCCAGCCACTCTGTCGCTCATTTACTTAGCCACTTAGCCACTCAGCCGTTCAAGCCACTCATCGCTCATCCACGTAGCCAGCCACTCAGCCGCTCGGTCTTAAGTGCTCGGCCACCCAGCCACAGCCTCTCATTCAGCCACTTGTCCGCTCAGCCACTCAGCCACGGTTAAGTGGCTAAGTGGCTGCGCGTGTTTTTTCATCTGAGTTGCCAACACAAAGCGTTGTTCGAAATTTCCGGGAGGCGTCCATGTGTCTTGGAGCTTGATTAATGCATGCGTTGGACAACGTCTTGTGATCAACGTGCTTAGCACCGTGGCTAGTTCGTCGACTCGCCCGGCCAGAAGGGGGGAGGGGTGTGGCCGGACGGAACCAGATGTTCGCGCTGTGAAAAAATGTGTTGTTTAAACATAGTCAGACATCTCACATTAAAATAATGTCTTGGTATTCTCCGCATGGAGGGAGGCAGGGAGGGAGGGAGGGAGGGAGGGAGAGGGAGGGGGAGAGGGAGGGAGGGGAGAGGGAGGGAGAGGGAGGGAGAGGGAGGGAGAGGGAGGAAGAGGGAAGGAGAGGGAGGGGGAGGGAGCGAGGGGAGGCCGGATTTTTTAGGCTGCGCAAGGGGAATCATCCTTTCTGTGTCCGATTGTTGATGCGTTTATCGCACAATTGACAAGTGTGGCGCATTCAGCGCAAAGCCTCCTAACGTATTTCGGCAAAGTTCTTGCCCCGTGTACCACCTACCCATACCCACCCCACTCAAACTAGCAAGAAACGCGCGTTTCCGCTGTTCCTTGGAAATATGTGATTGCCGCTCCTAACCGTCAGCTTCATGCGCCAGGCGCATTGCTGCAAGCGCTACCCAATTTCCTTGGCTAGGTTCTGGCGTAGCTGTTGGGTTGCAATGCTGGGCTAACTTTTTTTCAGGTGTGTACTGACCTGGCTAGGATGTCTATTGTTGCCGCTTGATGCGCCCTGCCATGCAGTGGAGCAAGACCTGCTCCCCGCTGCCAAGGTATCCAGGCCTCCCTGCCAATCATGTGTGGGCATGCACGCACAGATAGCATCGGCTCCGCCCCTTTGCGAGACTTGCTCTCACACTGCAAAGTGCCACATGCTGGCAAAGTGGCTGCCGTCGCAAGGATTCGAAGACATCCCAGATTTCGCATCCAGCTCCTGGACATGGTGCCACCTGACATTTGGCTGGCCCTCAATGTCCCGGAGTACGCGCATAGCATACCCGCAGCGCGCCTGAGACGGGCGCTAGACACCGCCAAATCTCTGTCATGCACAGCAGCAGCGGCGCCGACAAGCGCGGCTGTCAGCTTTGTGTGCTTTCCCCTTTTTGGGTTTTGCAGGTTCCTCCATTTGGCTTGAAGCAGTGATTTGGATTCTAACTGCCTGGAAAGATTGCCTCTGCTTTGCCATGTCTGCTTGTGGTCCCATTCTGCTTTAGACGCAGTGCAGTGTGCCTGTGGGAACACAAACCTGTTGTTGCACCGGTACCCTGCAATCCTTAAGGTTTGCGGGTTGCACCGTTGCGCCTCCTTAAGGTTTGCGGGTTGACTCAGGCAGACATCAGGACCGACAGATGTGCCGCAGACGCAACCTACGCTCAGTCCAAACAGAATATCCATCAGAATCGACCTTGTGACAGGTTGGCATGTGTTCGGCCGCAGAGGTGATGCTGTTTGACCCATTGTGCTGGCTTATTGCTTTGCAGAAACGCGCGCGTTGCGCCGAATGTGCAAGTCCGTTTGACGAGACGACGACTTCTTTTGTCAACGTTTCACACTATCGCATGTTTTTGACTTCTATTCTCGTGATGCACGTCTGTTTGGTTTGTTGGACGGTTAATGCTTTATTTCGCACTCAGTGTTGCTCCCAATTGCAGGAGGTATACTGGGCGTTGCCGGTGTTCAGGTTCTCGCCAGGGGCTGGTTAGATACCTCAGATCTTTGCTTTGTCATTTTTGTACGTTGCTACCGACAATGGCCACGAGGTGCAAAAATCCTCAGTATGGCGCCTGTCTGCTTTCGGCGTCACGTACATGGCGGCTTCGGTCAACAAATAGATGGTATGCGGAGACGTCGCTAATTCTTCAGGCGAGTGCTTCGCAGAACCTTCGAATCCTTCAGCTGGAGGTGATGGCGTTGGCATGCTTCAAGCTGACATAAAATCACAACGCTGTATCAGCAACTCATTCAAGTATCAAAATGTGTTTCGAAACAAAATGTGTGACCTCGGCTTTGTAAAACCAAACAGCATGCAGCCACCCTTCCTTCCCTCTAGCTGCTGACGCTGCTTTGAAGTCCACACACGTGTGCCGGCCTTTGCCGCTCGCAAGCACGCCTGACAAAAGGAAGCGACCCTGCTGCTTTCACTCCAGAAGAGCACCCACAACAGGTCGCCTTGGTGATGCAATGGCTAGCTGCTTGCAGCAACAGAGAAAGGAAACAGTCGCGTTTTAGAGCTGACAGCATCTGTTGCGCGGCCAAGCGTAGCGATGTAGCACTGACAGCTGCCATCTCTTGGGGTTGGTTTTCAGTGTGTTGCACTGGGCATTTTCACCAAGACAAAGACGACTTTAGTTTTTAATGGTGACATGCTCCCCTTTCTGACAGCAATCGGGCCTGATCGATTGGGGCTTCCAAGTGCTTGGGTGTGAGCGGTTTTGTGTTTTCATGTTCGCCTTCCGTTATTGCCAGCCTTTGAGACACTTGCAGTACATGTCGTCTCCGACTCAAGGGCATTGCTGCATGCGCAGGCAAACAGTTTCAGCTCATGTCCACACGGGTTTTTTTCGGACATGTCGGTGAAGGCAAACACCCCGGCACACACACACACACACACACGCACGCACGCACACACACACACACACACATGCACAGACACACGCACACACACACACACACACTTGGGCGTTTAAACAAGTCTGGTTGCCTTTTGCTTTGCGTTTTACGACTCCAAAAGCAGGACCATGGTGCCTGCCGTGATGGCTGCAAATTGAATACACTTGAAAGCGTTGGGAAGCGTGAGTGCCATGTGGAGCAACAGCTCGGGAAGTCCTCAGGTCCCAGCGACACTGTGGGCTTGGGGCACGAGGATTTGTCAGCTAGCGGGCCTTGAAATTGGGTGCCCTTTGTTCTGAGCTTCCAGTGCGAAAGTTGCAGTGGATTGTCCTGCTTTGAATTTGGAGGCTCGGATTTGAATGTATTTAGGCGTTGAACGCATCGCACTCCCCGGTGATGGACAATCGACTGGGAGGTCCTGGTGTGGGTGCGTGGCCTGCACCAAGCTTGGATCGCAATACCAAGAGACATCACTCTCCCACCAACAAACATGTGAACACGTTTTTGTTTCAAGAGGAAGATCGTCTTCCAAAAAGGGGTTGTGCACTTCCATGTTTATTGGTGGGAGGGTCTCACAGAAAGAGATTCCTCTAACAGCGGCCCCCCTTCTATGCTCATTTGAGCAGTAGGGATCCAGACTGAGGCATCTCGTTTAACCTTCACACCGCCAAGAAACTTCCCATGGCCCTGCTCTATGTCTCCAGTGGCCGTGGTGAACAGACCAGTGGTGCGAATGCACGGGCTGAGTGTCGCAAATGCAGAAGGGAAGTTACCTAGTGTCAAAACCAAACCACTAGGGTCATGTGAGTTGCCATGGTCCTTGTTGGGTTGCTGAAAGTGAACGGTTTTCTGAATCCTTTTCTGTGCGCCTTCATTTTAAACTACGACTTTGCTTTTGCGGATGTCACTTGAATGGAGCCAGTGTTAAGACTAGAACGCCGCCGACCGTGAGTTTGTTGCCAGGTGCACACACCCTCATCAGCCACAAGCATAGGAGAAGTGGGGAGCTTAGCAATGTGAGCGAAGCACATGGCCCACCAGTGCAGCCACATACGGACCCCACAAACCTGTTGCGATAAACACATGAGACATCATTTTGGCCACTCTCTCATTTGTACGTTCCATTCTCCAGTGAAAGTTCCGCCCACCTTTCCCCCATATTCTCGATGTTTCCCTGGTTTTTGCTTGAAAGTCCGAAGGTCCGCAACTTGGGGGACACCCACATTTTCGCCTTTTGAGGCTGACTCTCCAATGCCGGGCTGCTTCACTCCCACTCGGCAGGCAAAACTAGCCACTGGCCCCATGCGGTCTCTCGCACTGGCCCCGTTTGCCCCAGGTGTGCGCACGGCCGAGCCCTCTGATCGCTTGGAGCTCACAGGCGGACCTTGCGACATGCGACCCTCCAATCAATTCCAACGCATTTGTTGGAGGCAACGATTCTTGTCATGTGTTTCGGGTCCAAAGGGGCGCTAACAGGGAAGCCACCATTTTGGGGTCCAAATCGGTTTTTTGACACATACCCATGTCTGATGTCTAGAGGGTCCCAAAAGAAGACTTACCCAGAAGCTATGGCGAGCTGTCTTTCGATGCCATGGCTCAGGGAGCCCCATGCCTGGTGGGCGTGAGAGGACCTGCCTGTTGAAGCGCTCAGTTTCGGTGAGTCCTGGCTCGGATTCATTTTTCTGCTGCAGCCATTAGCCGAATCATTAGCCCAATGTTCGGCAAAGAGAGTGGTCCCGGAAAGTATCATGATGTGAATACCTCTGGGTCCAGAACAAACACATCTTTCGTGATCTTCTGAGCGGCATGCCGTTTCAACAGCGTGAACTGATACGCAACATGATCAATTACTCTCTGGCGTAAGTCACCGACGTAACATCTATGTTGGCGCGCAAGCTGCCTCCCACTGATAAGCCGCACGCTTGAAGAAAGTCTCGTTGATTCATGGATGCACTTGGTGCACTTAGTAATGCACACAGTTCGCCGAGGTTGATATGCGCCAGGTATGCCTGTCCCGAGGGCGTGCTTGAAGTGAGCACGTTTGCCTTTCAATGGCGGTCCAAGCTCCTGCCAGGTTGCTTGCTGTCCAAGTCAACTGAAGTCAAGTGCCCCGCGCTGTTCTCAGACTCGGAGACCAAGGCTTGGAGCCTTTACTGTGGGGCTTCTGTCTATTCAAGATCAGCAAAGCATCCCCCAAACACCACTCCCAGTTTTGGTCTATTTTGGCCTGTGAACCTTGCTTGATTTGCTGTTTGAGGTCCGTGAGGCTTCCTGGGAAGCATTCGCAGCCATCAGGCAGAAAGCGCGGCAGGATGCGAGCTTCGGAGGCTGCCAGGCAGGCGCATGTGGCATGCCGTCCGAAAACAAGCATGATACCTGAGTTTTTTTTCTGTGAGTCTATGAGTAAGATCGTCTTCCAGAAAGGCTTGATACGATACTATTAATGTTGGACCTTGTTTACTGTGGCCCCCCCCCCCCCCCTGGAACAGTCAAAACAGTCCTGGGGATCCTGAATACGGATTTGGCGGGGGGCTTGGGTGACTTGAGTATTGCTTTGGTATTGCCACTACTTAGTTTAGTATTGCCAGCACTTCCTTTTGGATTGCCACTACTTGGTTTAGTATTGCCAGCACTTCCTGTTGGGTTGCCACCACCCTAAGACTGGACATTAAACATGGTACCCAAACAGTGCCTTAAAGAGGATCAGGCCCTCTTGTGGGCAACCCCCTTTGCAGGACTGAATTTGATGGTTGGGGCTTGGGATCAAATCAGGAATTCTTAGGCTCAGGTCTTGGCCTGGTCCCTTGCTAAGCTTTTAGATTTAAAAGTAAGAGGCTAAGATGTGACCTGGAGATTCCTAACCCACCCACGCCTAAGACTGGACATTAAACATGGTGCCCAAACAGTGCCCCTTAAAGAGGATCAGGCCCCCTTGCGGGCAACCCCCTTTGCAGGACTGTTTGGGGCTTGTTTTTGGATGGAGTTACAGGAATTGTGAGGAATTTGAGCAACCAAAGATTTGCAGAGTTTCACTACTAGGACTTAGCCAGGAAGCTGAGAGGAGAAATCAGTTGCCCATATTACGAATTTTGAGTCATATTTTTTTCAACGGGATTTTTTGGGGTTCGAACTTGACATAAATCATGGTACCGAAACAGTGGGGGGGTCGTGTTTAAGCCGGGGAAACTTGACATAATTCAGACTACCGATATTAAACCAGGTGCAACATTAGGGCTGTTCACCTCAGATTCTCATTGTTACCCAATTCTGTTACTCGCTTGCTCAGACGCAGCTGCTGCGTGAGTATCACAGATGGCGGGTCCCTTGGAAAGAATTACGTTCGCTTTTGACCTGTCGAATCCAAGGCCGCCTGCCACCATGGCGGCCATTCTCATTGCTGCCTCTCGCGTGTTTCCTGCCGGTCACGAATGCACAGCCGCAGCCTTCAGTGTGCAAACCGAGGGCATTGAGGCCTTCGCACATGCAAGGAAAAGCTGCTCCGGAAAGTACTTTGGAGCAGGGGCCTTAGGTTTTGAAAGAGAAAACCAGTAAAAGTTCTGGATTGAATTTGCCTGCGCCTTATGGTTGCGGGAGGCTCTCTTGTGCTCCTTCGCTGTGCCGAGGAGTGCAGCACTTTATCAGCTGCCTCAACGTGCGGGAGCTACTGAGCATGCTTGAGGCACATTTCCCATTCCCGTGTTGTAAGTTGTTGGTTCTGCTACGATGATGAACATGCTATAGAATTCATGTGAAGAGAATGTGGTGCATACGGCATGTGCAGGTGTTTGCATTTCGTGGTATTCGAGAGCACGATCCCAGGCGCATTTAGTCGGTGTCAGAGATGTCACATCTGAACTTGTGGCTTGCAGGCGAACTGACCTCTTTCTGGCCGCGATTCCTCAACTTCAAGCCCAGGCCGATACAGCATGCAGACATGCATTCATGTGAGCACCCGCAAGGCTGCAGTTCTCAGCCTAAGTGAAGTTCGGTCAGCCTAGCACAACATGCCTGGTGTATCCTTTGGGCCAAGCGATTGAGGCGAGCGGCTGCACTCTACAAGCAGCTCAACATCCGGAATGAGCCACAAATGCCAGATTTCAGCTGGCACGTGTATCCATGTTTGTCCTGCCCACTTGGCAAATGGGAACCTTCAAACTTTGGCCAATGGCAAGTGCCCCCTTTGTGAGCAACCCATAGCGTGTGGGCTAGTGGCCGAGTTGGTGTTCAGAGCGTGCCAGGAGCCATTGTTTCATGCCCTTGGGCAGAGGCTCGACGAGCTCTTGGAGGCGAGAGCTCCGCATGCCACGCGCTTTTGCGAGGATTCCAGGCATTTGTTACAGGCCATGAGTTTGTCAAGGAACCACCGAAATGGTGTCCACCGCAGGGTCCCAAACTTGTATTCATACCTTGTTGATTCCAATGTCAATTTTGCTCGTGCTTCTCTGATCGAGTCTGCGAAATTTAGGGCTATGCAACAGTCCATTCCTCAAAGAGAAGAGCACTCTGTCAGTCACTATGACCGTATTGGCCAGTTGATACGTGTCACGAGCTAGGATCATACATTGCCTTCGGACGCTAAACACTTTACGTCTTGCATGATCGCATCATTTGATTTCCAGAGCTTGCCTTGCATGGGGCATCTGAGCCTGGCACGATTGACTTGCTGGTGCTCTCCATAGCGGCTATTTCATCCATCAGCAAAGCAGGTGAACACTTTAGCATCCAATGATTTAAGGGCAGTTTCCATGAAATCCCTTTCTTGAACATCGTGCAGGCATCATTGCAGAGGTGCGATGCTGTTGCAACGCAAGCTACCGCCCCTGGGTCTTTCTGTTTGAGGCGGCGGCACGATGTGGACAAGCTAAAGAGTAGAGCAGGCCGCGATGAGCGAAGCCTTTTCTTGCACTAATCTGAACGGAGGCCCAGAGGAGGCAGCTGTGATGACCTTCCTCGGAGCTTGCGGTCGCTTGAACATTCTACCTCCGAAGGCCAGAGACTTGTGAGCTGCCGAGTTGCCGAGTTGCTTGTACTGAGATTCGAGGCACATCAGCTTCTCAACGTGGTGGGGCCATCCGCTCGTGCTAGGAAGGATCTGCCCCGGCTTGCCGCATCTCGGAAGTGTTTCTTCTTCTTTTTTGCTCCAGTGGCAAAACCTTTGCGCACACCTTCTATGCGCTCCTCTTGGTTCCAAGGCCTTGGCGCAGTTGGCGGCCAAGTTTGGTCTCGGCGATGCTGGAGAAGTTCTGGCCTCATCCTGCATCGAATTTTGGTCGGCTTGGGGTCCACTTGCCAGGCCAACCAGATCCTCATCGTGGTGAGTGCGGCATTCGAGAGGGCTGTACCTGATGCTCCTATGTCTAAGGGTTATGCCTCCCAAGCGGTTTATGGTCAGCTACTGATGGCGCTGGTGTTTGATGAGACTGAATGCCAAATGCGTGACAGAGCATTGGTGGCTTCAATTCACGCGGTCTTTGCCGACTTTGGTTCTGCGATTGCTGCACTGGATGAACGACTAGCAAGGCAGCTTCAGGCCTTTTCCCTCATGTTGGGCTTGAGAGTCAAGATTGTGACGTTTCCATTCCGCTGTCCCACTGGGTCCAATAAAGGAAACCTGTCGAGGGTTGGCAACATCACTTGGGGTTGTTTCCCCTAAGCGATCCTTTCCCGTCTCATGGAAGGTGGCAGAGCTGGCCTGCCGTGTGGAACGCCCCGGCGTGATGCAACACTTGCAGCTCAAGGGGCTGACGGCCTTTCTGGAGGGCCCATCAGCTGCAGTTGATCGGAATCTGGCTCCGTCTCAAAATCAAGGGACGTTGGCGTCCTTTCGGTTTGCAACGAACAGAGACACACTTCTGCCGTCTGATTGCACATGGCAGAATGGAACTGTTTGATTGTGTTGCATCCCACTTTGGGATTTGCGAATATCCAATGGCCACATGTGTGTGCCATCATCAAAAAACTTCTTTGTTTGGTGTTGTTCGGGATGCTGGGATGCTTATGGACCCCTAATGGGGATTTTCGGCAAGCATTGTGGTTTGCAAAATAGGGAGCCACAACCATGGCCCCAATATATGGAGTTTTCTCCAATGACATCAGGCTGCGAGTGGCATGATATAGAACATCACGTACGCTTTTGCTAGCTTCGGATTCTGTCACAGAGTGCGTCAGGTGTGAAGCAGCTGGATGATGCGTCGCAGCCATTGCCAAAATGTTCTTCACAGCAGCATCTCCAGGTGTGCATTTGAAGACTGGTAAGAATGTAAGGTCACCAAAGAGCAGCCAAGATTTTGGGTCCTTCGAGCTACTGCATGCAGTTTCTATTGCTCGGCACAGCTGCATGTTCGTGCAAGACACTTGATGCCGCTTCACAGCATCCCTCAAAAGGGTGCGTTCAAGCCTCTTGACCTTTTGGTAACACAAGACATTCCATTAAACCTACAAAGGGAAAAAAACACATATATATATATATATCATTGCTCAGAGGGGAAGAGCAGTAATGGCAGCCTCCTGCAGGTCTCTGGAGCTCTCAGAGAACTAGGTGTGAAGCACAGCACAGAGGATTGTGCAGCGCATGATTTGTGCCTTCGCAGATAAACGGACCTTGCAGACAAATAGGGGTGATTCCCTCAAAAGTGAAGGATCATGTCTTGAATGGGACCCCTACTACTCATGCAGGGGTGCCTAATCACCTGGGTTATCATTGGTCGACTGTTCCTTTGGGGATGGGAGCTAACATGGAGTCAAGGAGAAGTTGCAGCCTTACGTGGCAGACGTGCGGCTGGCGAGGCAGCAGCGCTTGATTGAGATCGATGGCAAACTGGCGGCACGCAGATTCGGTGTTTGTGTCAAAGCCAAGTACTGTATTGTGTGGTTGTTTGCCAGTCAGTGGTTTGACGCATAAAGGTGAAAATTTGACTTGTGGACAATGGCACCACTTGCCAAGATTGCTGCTGCTCAAAGCAGCGATGCATGTCTTGAAATGGGGAGCTATTTGCAGACACATACCAGGGTCCTCCAGTCGTTGGAGCTGGGGCACAGCTTCTTGAGATAAAGGTATGATTTGAGTGAGTGGTGGTTTCCGTAGCTTTATACCAACCTGTGGATCAACCACCTTCAGGGGAGTCGCTATTCTTGAACAAGCCTTGTAACCATTTTCATAGACCCAAACACATCAAATGGGTTTGGGGCACTCATCCCACAATTGCGTCAATGGCTTCAATTAATCGCTCCTTTTTTTGGGTGCCGAGCAAACCGAGCCATGAGGGCCATTGCACTTCGTCTCGAACTCGACTCGCTATGACATGAAGAGCTCCTTGAAGCATCGCTTGCTGACCAAGCAGGGCTGGGATGTCCACCACATCGCTTGGAACGTGTGGTTCTCAGCACGCCCATGGACCATACCCCACGTGAGCCTCAAGGAGCAACAGGTCTTGTGAGTTGTGGCGAAATCTGACTCAATCCAGAAGGACTCAATGACAGCATCAATTTGAGTCGCATGGGTGTGCAGTTCCCAGGACTGGCCAACACATCATCATACCAGGCTGACATACGTGGCCAGGCGGGTCGGTTCGTCTCCTGTCAGCCAGTTCCCTGACCGCAAGGCTGTTGCGAAGCCCACCGCCTGGCAAGCAATTGATGGAGTATTCTCCGCTTGAGCTCAGCCCCTTAGATCGGTTGGATCATTTGGTTTGTGTCGTTTTTGAGGGTGCCCTTTTCAGTTCGGTTAGGGAAACCCACAAGAGCCCATTTTGGCGGTCCCACCTATTTTGACACACCTATTTGCACTTCTCAGCAAGTCTGGGCAGGGGCGGCAGCTGATGTGCACAATGACCTGGACAAAGCCTGACACCATGTTGCGCTCAAGCGCGCGTGACTTGCGGGACACAAGCCGACCATGAGAGAGCACGGACTACCGTATGGAGTGCCTTGATGGCTGTTGGCCTGCGATGGGAACGATGTACGACGACGCCCAATCTGCGAGGTGAAGCAACTGTGTCGATTGACGCACGAGCGCCGTCATGGTCCAGCAATCTACAACCAATGGATCGATGCACCGCTTTGTATGCCCAGATGCGCCGCTTTGCATTTACCTTCGCCGTGCGCCAAAGAAAAGTGCTTTTGGCCCAACCAGCGAGATTGATGCGGCAGATTTGGTGGGTTAATGTCAAGAAGTTGTGCAGGAGCCTCATGCAGTCGACCCGAAGAGGCGGGTGCAGTTTTCAGAAAGAGCTGGTCAGATTAACTGTATGCTGTTGCTGTTGCTGTTGCTGTTGCTGTTGCTGTTGCTGTTGCTGTTGCTGTTGCTGTTGCTGTTGCTGTTGCTGTTGCTGTTGCTGTTGCTGTTGCTGTTGCTGTTGCTGTTGCTGTTGCTGTTGCTGTTGCTGTTGCTGTTGCTGTTGCTGTTGCTGTTGCTGTTGTTGTTGTGTTGTTGTTGTTGTTGTTGTTGTTGTTGTTGTTGTTGTTTGTTTGTTTGTTTGTTGTTGTTGTTGTTGTTGTTGTTGTTGTTGTTGTGTGGTGGTGGTGGTGGTGGTGGTGGTGGTGGTGGTTGTTGTTGTTGTTGTTGTTGTTGTTGTTGTTGTTGTTGTTGTTGATGATGATGATGATGATGATGATGATGATGATGATGATAATATGGTGTCCCCTTCCATTTTTGTGGCTTGTTTTTGAGGTGTAGACCGACACATCTTGATGCGTGGTATGTATGTGAAACAATTCAGCCCTCAAAGACTTGCTGGCGGGCACTTGTTCTCAGATCCAAGACTTGGCTCCCCGCAAGATGCGGCTCAATGCATACGCCCAAGAGAGAAGTCTCTGGATTATGCATGGCGCCGGCTATGGAGCCACCTGTGTTTGGATTGGAGGAGGCGTTGAGCTGAGTAACCCAGAAGCTGCACATAACAAGTATGGCACCATGTTACTGCATGAGATGCCGAGTGACTAAGTTGGCAATGATTTCAGCTTCACCGTCACCTCAATGGACTCCAGGCGTGAACATTTTTGTAAGTCGGTCCTTGCCTGACTATACGGGTGTGTGTTCGCAGCCAACCAAAAAGGGTTGCAAGCCTCAAGAAAACCCCCCATTCCTGGGCTGTGTAGAGGCAATCCGTTTGTAGTGGTTCAGTAGAGACGATGGGATTGGCCAATCCCCTCGTAAAGCAAAGAAGCCGCGGCCGCGAATTGCAGGTAGCCCTCCTCCAGCTCCTAGGCGCGGAGTTTGTAGGGATTGGGTTGGGTGGCACCAACCACTTTTGAGGTTCCCTATCAAACATCAAAATCCATTGGTGGGTTGTGGTGTTCCGGGGGGGGGGACCCTCCGCTTCGTTTGGTGTGTTGGTGGTTCCCTGCGGCTGCAGGGAGTCATTTTTCGGGAGCCAAAAGCGGAAGCTTGTGTTTTCTTCAGGCAAACGAGCTGCCAGACAAGTTAGGTCCCCGAATTTTAGACAAAGTGTGTGTTGCGCCAGGAGGCCGACGCCGACTTTGTTGCTGAAGGAGTGGCCCTCAATAGGCTTACCAGCAGAAGGGTCTATGCAGTGAGGCGATTCAGAGTGGCTCGGCGCAGCAGGCACGAGATCGTGAGCGCTGTTTTCGAGCCGTGGCCGGTGTGGGACGCTAAAATAGCGGTTTTCCCTTTAGTCGTGTGAAGCAAGGTGAAAGGGGTGTTCTCATGTTTGGCCAGGTGAGCGCATTTTTGGAGATCTCGCCCGAAAGGCTCGGTGTCGCCAGAGAGGAGCTGGTGAAACAGTCAATGGCAGGGCAACTTGCGACGAGACTTTGGACCCCCCTTTGTGCACAGCCATTGAGATCGACCTGAATAAGGAGGCTCGCTGAAGAGTAGAGCTTCAAGCAGCTTGCCCACCATTGCGACATTCTTCATTTGCGGTTGGCCAGTATGGATGCCTCAACAAGGAAACTTGAGCAGACAGCACACACGCAGCACTGCTAAGATGTGTTTCGGCGCCCCAGCACACCGCTGAGATCATGCAGGACGATTGAGCAACGCCCAAAACCGATTCTTGTCAGCCATTTTAGTAGGTAGTTGTGCAACCTGGTTCTATTCGGGTGATAGTAGAGGCTATATTAAGCTTTTATAAGCATGCGAGTAGCACCAAAAGTCAATTGTTTTGGGCGCTGGTCAATTGAACCCTAGAAAAGCAAAGCACAGAGCAATTGAAGCTTTCTCTCTGGCAGATCGTACGAACCCTTCTGAGCTTCAACGCAGATGTGAACTGCTTTAGTTGTGATGGTGGCTGCCTCAGCCGCTGAGAGATGTGTTTCAACATTGTTTGAAGCTGAGGCAGGAATCCTTTGCAAATTCTACTTGATGCTGTCGCATACAGGCACGGTGCAGGCATAGCACGCTCGACAAGAGCATTTCTCAAAATGGTGGACCCCATTCGGTTGGTATTTAATGGTATTTACAGGAAACCAATGATTTTTAGGAGGACACTATGTTGAGAATCCCCCCCCGTGAAGGAACGGCACAAATCCCATCTAAAATGGGACTAGCTGACAAAGGCACAACTCTTGGCCAAAACTTTGTTTTGAGGGTGTGTGTGTGTGTGTGTTTTAAGCGGAAGCCTTTTTCGGGCTTTTTGGAGTTTCAAGAATTGGCGTTACGCAGGAGCGCAGAAGATCTGCCGAGCCTGTCCGGTGCGGTGCCCAGTTGCAATTGTGAAGCCAGTGGCACCCCGCTGTCCTTCCGCGAACATGAAAAGGGAGATCAAAGGCAAGGAAGCCATCTCGAGAATTGTCGGCAAGGACGGTCTTGGTGAAAGGGAAGCCACACAATTTGGAATGTCAGGTGACGGAGACTGGACCTGGATGGGTGATGGGTCTGTGGTGGCCCTAGTACAGGGTTCGGAGCGGCAACATCCATACCTCATAAAACATGTTTTTGTGTTTATCCCATGTGAGTATCTCTGGAAAGTAAATTGAAGTCAAGCAATGCAATGCAATGCAATGCCATGCCATGCCATGCCATGCCATGCAATGCAATGCAATGCAATGCAATGAACGAAATGTAATGCAATGTATGTAACAAATTGCAATGTGTTGGTAACATGTAATGACATGAACGTAAGGAAGTGTAAGGCAATGTAATGTGATGCGTATGTGATGTATGCACTGTATGTAATGTATGCAACGTATGTAATGCATGTAATGCATGTAATGTATGCAATGTATGTAAGGCATGTCATGTGGAGCCTGTGTTTTTTAATTGCTTAGGGTTGGCTCCGACCGATCGGCTTCGGCTCCGAGTGCAAGGGTCCAATAGTCCGAAGTGCACAAGGGTACAAGGGTCCGAAGGGTGCAAGGGTTCGAAGGGTACAACAGTCCCAAGGGTCCAAAAGTCCCAGGGTCAACCAGACACAATGGTCCAAGAGTCCAAGGGTCCGCAGGCGTACAAGGATTCCAATGTCCGAAAGACACAAAGGTCCAAGGGTCTGAAGGACACAGAGGTCCGCAATGGTGCGAAGGGTCCAATAGTCCGAAATGCAGAAGGGTCCACATGGCGCGAAGGGTCCAGAAAGTTCCGACTGCTACAATAGCTCAAGGGTCCGCGGTCCGAGAAGCCAGGATTCTCGATTCTCTTTGCGTCAGTGGAATGGTGCAAGGCTCAGTGAGCTTCCCCCGCATAAGACGCTAAACAGCAGCCAAGGGGCGGCGGCTCCGGCCAAAGAGGCCTCGGCAGGGTTTGGGAGGAGCCACAGGCGCACTGGTCTAAGAATCAAAAGGTAAACAAGGTCCAAAGGGTCTAGGGTCTAAAGGGTCCAAAGGCAAACCAGGGTCCAGGGTGTATGGAGGCTGCCCTCAGAAATGACCGTGCCCCTTCGGGGACAGCTCTGTTTTGGGCCCCACACGCTGGCAGACTTGCAGGGCTGGAGAGTAACGGGGAGCCAGCCTCGACATGTGTTCCAAGGGACCACGGGCTCCAGGGTCAAAGGTTCAAATATCGAAAAAGTCAAGATGTGCAAAAGGGCCCAGGAGCAAAAAACGTAAGATTCCAAGAGTCCAAAGATCCTTCCCTGGAAGGCCCAAGCTTCCAAGGCTTAGCAGGCTGAGGCCGTCCCAATCTTCCAGGTGTTCAGGGCACTTTGACAGGGTCCACGTTTGAAGGGTCCCAAAAAGCAAAGGGCCTCAGTCACCAAAAGCAGACAGCGAAGGGGAACACCGGGTCCAGGCTCCACGTGTGGTCCGAATATTTTAAGAGTCAACCATATTTTACTGCCAGCACACCAGGGTCTAAACGGCGCAACGGTAAACCAAGGCTGTCAGGTATGCTGCGAGGGGTCTGAGAGTGGGCCCAAGGAGCTTGCGCGTCTGCGGAATGGTCCAAGGCAGCGAGGCTTCACCGGGCACCGCAACCCAACGAAAAACTCACCCAACCATCCCTTGAATTAGACAATGAACTTCCCCCGCATGAGACGCCAAACAGTAGCCAAGTTCAGAAAAGTCAGATCAGCCACGGGCGGCGGCTCCGGCAAAGAGGCCTCGGCAGGGTTTGGGAGGAGCCACAAGCGTAGTGCGGCTTATCAATCAAAAAAGGTTCCAACTCAAAGGGGGCCAAGCCCCAAAGGGGCCCAACCCTAAAGACATTCAAGCCAACAAAGGTAAACAGCCACCTCCGTAACATTCTAAAATCCCTGGGCTACTTATTTGCCCTGTCAGAGGTGAGACACGGCTCCAGTTCCCTACTGACAGGGGAAGCTTGAGTGGCCCAGGGTTCCGTATGTTTCCCGGCGGTACAAGCCCCTTGGCTTAAACACCAATTTAGTAGCAATGTTTTAACAACTGTTACATATACGTTTGGTAAGTTTCGGTAATTTCTTTATTTAGTTTACGTAAATTTTGGAAAGCTTCGGTTGTTGAGCCTATTGAGCCCAGGAAATTTCTGTTTGCTATTTTTCGGTCGGGAGAGCGTGGCGGGGAAGGTGGGCTGGGCGCGGGCCCAAAGCCAAAAGCCCATGCCCTTTTCGGGTTGTCCCCCCGTTTCGGCTGGGAGCCTGGCGAGGCTTGGCTTGCGGAGCCACCAGGAAGATGCAATCCCAGCCCCTCATGAATCAAGCGGTCACAAGGCTGCGCACTGGAGCCCCAAAGCCAAAAGCCCACGCCTACACCCTACCAGCTCCGCACAGAGGCGAGCCATTGCAAGCATTTACCCTCATGGTTAGGCTCAGGGCGAAGGATTCCTTCTGCCTTGTATCTGGAACGAGGGCCGCTTGACGCACCCATTGAGTTGCTACACGGAACGCCAAGCTCTTGCGAGCTGGCGCTCCGAAAGGGCGAGCGATCGTTGGCGCGGTGCAAGGGCGCAAGGGTACAAAGGCTCAAGGGTCCGTCCAAGAGTTCAAGGGCCTCTCTTTCCAAGGGTCCAAGGGTTCACTTGAGTGGTTTAGGTTTGGGTGCAGTGGCTCAAGTTTTCGCAGCTTCGGTGATGTTGCCCCCACACTGTGGTGGCAAAAAGTTATTTGTTGGCGCGAAGCCTAAATAATTCAATTGCACAGCCGCCCTTTTCGGGTTGTCCCCCGTTTCGGCTGGGAGCCTGGCGAGGCTTGGCTTGCGGAGCTGCAGTTGAACTTTCAGGCTTTCAGGATCCAGTGTTCAGTAGTAAGCCGTCCCCACCAGGACCCTTTAAACCTTTCGAGCCCTTAATACCCTTGAAACCCTTTAGACCCTTTGTGCAGGTTTGACCCTTACCCTTTAGACCCATTGCACCTTTAGACCCTCTAAACCCTTGAAATCCTTCATCCCCTTCAAACCGTTTAGACCTTGTGAGCCTTGAGACCCTTGAAATGTTTCTTTAGACCCTTGGTACCCTAGAGACCCTTCAGAGCCTTTAGACTTGAAAGAAACTCAGGCAACCATAAATTGGGAAATCAGCTACACAGCTGGGCTGCTGTCGCATTGGGCCCAACCCGGAAACATCCAGCTTACCACCCTGAAAGTCTGACATAAACCGGGCATCCTCTGGCACTGGTCTCTTCTTTTTGCTTCTTCAGCAAAAGCGTCTGCACTCCAAACCCAAAAAACCAACAACAGGCACTATGTGTTGGATGCTTAGGGGATTTGGATTTTTCGAGCCCTCAAGCCTGTCGCTATTGTCTGGACTTTTGGGTCCCTGGACCCTTTGGTTTCTGGAGATCCAAGGACTATTTGTAAAGCTTTTTTTACGCTCAGAGCCTTGCGCCCTGCACCTTTTGGAGATCCGGACTTCGTTCGGAATTCACACCTTGGAGCCTACGGATGCTCGGACTCTTGACCTGACCTGTCTTGCACCCCTTAGACTCTTGAAACTTTCTCAGTTGCCTTTGAGCCTGGTGCCTGGATGCTCGCAACAGCTTGGCGTTCCCTATGTTTGGACAGCTTGATTCATGAGGGGCCAGGACCGAAGGGGATGAAGGGAAATTTAAAGGGTTTAGAGGGTCCAAAGTCTAACAAGCTTTTGGAACCTTGCAGGGTTGGAAAGGGTGCCCTCCTCAGATGGGGGATTCTCGTTTTTTATCTCCAAGAGGTCCAGGCTGCAAGGCTCTGAGCATGTAAAAAAAGCTTTACAAGTAGTGCTTGGGCGTCCAAAACCACAACAGGGTCCAGGGACCCAAGAGTCCAGACTATAGCCACAGGGTCAAGGGCTCGAAAAATCTCACCCAGCATCCAGCGCCCAGCAACTGTTCCTTTTTTTCTGGGTCGGGGCGCAGGAGGCACCAGTGCCACAAAAACGCCCGTTTTTCGGCTTCACCAAATACCTGGCAGAATTACTGGTGGATAGTGCAGGCGCGGAGGCATTGTGCTCGCTTGAGCCATGGCTTGCGTGTCGCTACCCGCTCAAGCGTTGGCCAGGCGAGGTTGAAAAAGCTCCCAGTAAATGCAATGAAAAAGCGTTGGCTGTCCCAATCTCAATTGTTCGGTTTCAGGTAACCCGCTGGGAATTCTCAAATAGGCTGGCCAGAACTGCGTTGCCGGGACTTCAAGGGTCCAAGCACTGAATTTATCCATGGCAACAGGGCCCAAACATCGACTGGGTCAAGGGCACAAGGGTCCAAGTATCTGCAGACTCCAAAGGTGCCAAAATCCCGAACAAAATCCGAATCTCACAAAGGGTGCAGGTTGCAAGCTCAGAGCGTATAAGAAAACCTTTGAAGCCAATACCCAGCAATTTCCACAGCCTCGGATACCTGAAAAAGTCCAAAGAATCTCAAGGGTTCAATGGGTCTAAAGGGTCTAAATGGCATAAAGTGTCCAAAGCGTCAAAAGGTGTTAAAGGGCCTACAGGGTCTAAAGCATGCGCGGTTTGAAGTTTGGATTCTTGCAGGGTTGGAAAGGGGTTCGTGCCTTTTCAGATGGGGGATTCTCGTGTTTTAAGCCTAAATCCCGCATGAAATTTTGGGTTGGGTGCAAGGCCCAGCGTGTAGCTGTCCAAGGGCTCAGCGGGGCTTTTCCTGCCGGGAAATCAGAAACATGCAGATTTTCCTATGTATGGCTCCCAAGTTTCTTCGATGTCTAAAGGTCTAAATGGTCCCAAGGGTATAAAGGATCATCTGAAGATTCTCAAGGGTCCGAAGGGTCTGAAGGGAAATTTGAATGGTCTAGAGGGTCTTCAGGTCTAAAGTTGTTTGCAGATTGCTTCAAGCTGCAAGCAGCGCAGTTCTTGACACGTCGCAGATTTGAGGCCCCCGTCGCAAAAAGCAAAGCCGCCTATCCGCCGGGAGCTTTTGGATGACTCCCTTGCTCCATGCAACCTTGCGGAGCCTCGCTTCCTGGCGACCTTTCAGGCAGCGTCTGCTTGACTTAGTAGGATATTTTGAAAACCTCAAAACACCGTATACTTCCCTATTGTGTCCCCGTTGCCTTTGAAAGAAGCTGTTTGTCACACCCCCCCTGCCTCAGTTTTTGTTAGACTCAACCTTTGTTTTTCTTACCTTTGGGCTCTATGTAGTCCTGGAGTTGCCCGTGAGAGAAGGCCTGCCTCATTTCGTTAGACTGTAGTGAGTGGGTTTAAACTTGGCTGGTTGCCAAGCCTGGGATGGGTCGGACCATTGGGCCCTTGGATCAGTTCACCATTGGGCTCTTCAAGCCCCCCGTGGTTCCTTGAGATTATCAGATCCCAGATCCAAGGCCCCATAGATCAAGTGCCTGTTTCGGTTCGACAGCCCAAGGGTGAGCGGATGGAAGGGTCCAATGTCCAACCCAGCCAAGGGTTCTGTCAAGGGCAGGCCTATCCTAAAGAAGAGCCAACCCTTAAGCAATAGCCAACCTTAAACAATTAAAAAAACCGCCGCCCGGATGTCATGTATGTATGTAATGGGACACAATGTAATGCAATGTCAAGTAAGGTAATTTAGTGTAACGTAATGAAATGGTAGCGTACGCCGTAAATACGTGGGTAAGTAAGCAACGCATGTAAGTATGTGTGTAAGGTAAGGGAAGGTAAGGAGTTGTCATGTAGTGTAATGTAATGCATGTAACGTATGTATTTCATGTATGTAATGTAGCGTAATCCAATGTTGTGTACGTGAGAGTGTTGTAAGTACTGGAATGTAATTCAACGTAGTGTAAATAATTGGCTTGTACGTATGCAACTATGTAGTATTCATGTATGTATGTATGCAAAGCAATGTAGTGTAATGTAATGCATTGTATTGTATTGTAACGTAAAATAAAGTAACGCAACAACATGTATGTATGTATGTATGCATGTATCTATCTATGTATGTATGTATGTATTTTTGTATGTGTGTATGTATGGAATGTAATGTACGGAATGTGTGTATGCATGCATGCATGTAGGTAGGTAGGTAGGAAGGAAGGAGGCAGGTATGTATGTATGTAGATATGTATGTAATGTAGTGAGTTGTTTTGTATTCAGTTGTAATATGGCGTAACGAAATGCAATGTCTGCATGTATGTAATGAACGTAATGCACGTATGTATGTATGTGTGTAGGTATGTATGAATGCACGTAATGTATATACGCCGCATGCAACTGTATGCAATGCTTGTACCGTTGTAAAGTCATGTATGTAATGTAACGTAATCTAAAGCCACTTACTGTAAGGAATGGAACGTCATTCAACGTAATGCAACGCATTGTAACGTGATCTAATGCAATGTACTGTATGTATGTAGGTACGTATGTGTGTATGTATGTATGAATGCGTGTGTATGTATGCGTGCGTATGTATGTATGCATGCATGCATGCATGCATGCATGCATACATTACGTACGTACGTACATACATACATGATACATACATACAAAAATGCATGCATGCATGGATACATACAACGCCATGACATTGCATTACATTATGTTACATTACACTACATGACTTAAACACATACACATATCCACATGCACATGCGTACCTAGAAACAAAACACATACACACATGCATCGCATTACATTCCGTTGCGCTACATTACATTACATGCATGACATGCATACATTACATATATACATACATACATACTTACATACATACATACATACACACACACACGCATACATACATACACACATAGATAAACACATACACACATACATGCATACGGTACACAGGTACGTACATACATATACACATACATCAATATATACCTACATACATACATACATACACACATGGCCTAGCATAACATGACATGTCATGACACACAAACCAGCGAACAAATATGCAAACATACATGCATACATATATACAACACAGGCCTACACACATACATACGTTACATAGTTACGTTAAATTGCACTGCATTACAATACACTTCCTTACATCACGTTACATTGCATGCATACATACATACATCGCATACATACATACATGCATACATACATACATACATACATGAATAAAAACATATATGCATACTTACGAAATATATACATAAATAATCACATACATACAAGCAAACATACATACATACATACATACATGCATGCATATATACATGCAGTACATGAGTACATTACGTTGCATTGCACTTCATTATATTACATTGCGTTACATACATACGGTACATACATACATGCATGTATGTATGTATGTGTGCGGGTGTATGTATGTATGTATGTATTTATGTATGTCTGTATGTATGTATGCGTCTGTGTATGTATGTATGTATGTATGTATGTATGTATGTATGTATGTATGTATGTATGTATGTATGTATGTAATGTATGCATGTCATGCATGTAATGTATTGTAGTGCAACAAAATGTAATGCAATGCATGTGTGTATGTGTTTTGTTTCTAGGTATGTATGTGTATGTGTATGTGTATGTGTGTATGCGTTTAAGTCATGTAGTGTAATGTAACACAAATGGAATGCAATGTCATGGCATCGTATGTATCCATGCATGCATGCATTTTTGTATGTATGTATCATGTATGTTGTACGTACGTACGTATGTATGCATGCATCCAGGCATGCATGCGTGCGTATGTGAACATATGGTATGTTTTGATATGTTATGTTATGTATGAAATGTATGTATGTCTGTCTGTCTGTATTTATGTATGTATGTATGTATGTAACAGGTTTGCATCTGCTGTAATGTATCGTGATGCAATCTATTGTAATGTAACGTAATGTATTACATTGTAGTGCCGTGTTTGTACTGTTTGGTGTTTTGGATGTAGTGCGTGTCTTGTATTTATTGTGTGTACTGTAGGTATGGTATGTGTCCTAGCAGCATTGGGAACTTCGCCGTCAGCCAAAGCCCCACGCCTGCCATGCAAAGCTGAGGCGCGCGTTGCAATTCCAAGCGTTTCGCGCTCCCTGAAGCGTTGTGTGAAGCGTTGCGTGAAGCGTTGCAGTTCCGGTTGGGCTTTGTGGGGGGAGGGCAATAGCGTCGGTTGCCCCCTCCCCCCCATTTAGGCAGGGAACAGTTCCCCCCCCCCCCGCCCGCTCCGCGCTGCACACACTCTCTTGCCGATTTTCGCACACTTGCTCACCCACTCGACGCGCCAGCCAAACAATAAGTACGCCAGCAGAGGTGTCATTGCTTGCGCGTCAAGCCGCCCCGACTCTCCAATACTTGTGTCACAAAGGCTCCTTCCTCAGCTTCGAACCCAGCGCAAACCTTCCGTGCGTATTTATCGTATGTGTTGTATGTCGTAGTGAATGTACTGTACGTGTAGTATGTATTATTTGTAGTGGCGTGCGGGAGAGTTGCCACCCCTGCGCGGCATGTGCAACGACAGAGCAACATGGCAATTAACATGAGTTTTTGTTTTGGATGCCCTCATTCTCCAAACACCATTTGCGTGTGTATATATATATATAAGTTACAGTATATCCCAGAGCTGAGCGGGTGCACTTGAGCGGGCTTGCTTCCCATTTGCGGGCGTGCTGACCACTTGACAGGCGTGCGTGCAGTGATGGGCGGGCTTGCTGGGCGACTAGCGCCGGCTGTCTGGATCATTGTTTTGGGGGCAAGAAGACCGCGTGCCAATGTAGACTGGGTCTTGTAAGGAATGTATGTACTGTGTGTAACGTATGTAATTTATGTACTGTGTGCGTAATGTATGTAATGTATGCAATGCATGTAATGCATGTAAATGTCCTGCCGTGTCATGTCATGTCAGGTCTGGCCAGGTCAGGTGCTGTAATGTGTTGTCGTGGATTGTATGCGTGCTTGCATGTATGTCTTTTTGTATGATGCTTTTGTATGTATGTCTGTCACGTATGTATGTATGTATGTAGGTAGGTAGGTAGGTAGGTGGGTAGGTAGCTAGGTATGTATGTAGTATATGTATGACTGTCATGTAGAGCAACGGAATGGAAGTGAATGTGATGTACTGCTGTAGAGGTAATGCAATGTGCTGTGTAGTGCTGGTGGACTGTCGTGCAATGCAATGTAATGCAATGTATGTGATGCAATGTGCTGCGCTGTAGAGGGTGCCGACGCAACGCATGAAACGTATGGAATGCATTTATGTATGTAATGGGTCGAAGGCTTGTAATGTGTGTAAGGCATGTAATGTTTTTACAGTATGTAAAGTGTGTACTGCATGTAGTGCAACACAATGCAAGTCAAAGTGACGTAACGCAAGGTACTGAAAGGCAATGCAAGCCACTGTGCTGTAATGTAATGCCATGTAGTGGATTCACATGCATGTTTGTATGTACTGTATTGTACCGTAATGTGACAAAGAGTAATGTAATGTAATGTAATGCAAGGCAGTGTAATGCAATGGAATGGAATGGAATGTAGTGTATGCATGCCTGCATGTATGTGTGTTTGACTATGTCTTTTGAATGTGAAATAGCCGCATGTCTCTGAGCCAGCGAGCCAATCGGAAGAGGCAGCTCCGGCCTATTTCAAACATCCTTGACAGTTCAATGACTTTGGTCATGAAGCGGTGAACGTTGCACAGGTTTGGTTCTAGAACACCTACTGTCACCAAGTGCCACCTAAGTGCCACCCAAGTGCCACTCACGTGCAAAGATCGCATTTATCACCAAGCTGCCTCTCTCTGGCTTGCTTGCTTGTTTGTCCGCTGCCATCAGTGTGTGTGTGTTAGGGTTCCCTAGCCGTCAGAAAATCAGCTGACCCGCGCTGCCTCAAACAAATTTCATCGGGGATGGGCTCTACCGGGTGCCGTGGGGCTCTACTCGGTCCTCTGAACGACTGAGGGCTGCGGCGACATCGCAAGGCCTGGAAGTTTGCTTCGTCACTTGGATGGAGTTTGCGAACGAAGCCAAAGAGAAAACCACCATTCTGGGTGGTCCCCCTATTTTGGGCCCTGCTGTGAACAGTGAGCTTGCCAGGCTGGGCAGTTCCTTCGCGATGAAGGAGATACGCCAGATGGAGGAGACGAATGGGGCAAGCTGACGCGGGTGTGTCGTTCTTGAGGGCACTCTTCTTAGGGAAACCAAGAAGACACTGACCATTCTGTGGGGTGTTGACAAACCCACAGGGGCTATCTCGAAACCCAGTTGGCACTTTTGCGATGGTAGCATAGGCAAATAGCGCGATTTTGAAAGCTTAACGTACTTTGCCAGCCTCTCGGGATTGCCGCCAATCAACTCTTGCCAGAGATTGTCCAGGATGATGCGATTGCTGTCGCGTCGATTCTCCTAGCAGCTGGAGCCCGGCTGGAGGCAGGGCTTTACGGCATCGCGACTTGCCTCTGCTCCAAGTGTGCTGGTCCAAGATGACACGTCAGGAGGAAGAAACTGGCCGGTGACTCAGTATTGTGTTTGGATCCTACTCTCCCTCAGACTAGCATGGAAGCTCCCAGAAGTAAATCAGGGCGTTTGGGACCTCCATGTTAGCCTGGTGGAGACAACATTAGAAGTTTCAAGCATATTGACATCAGGGATGAAACATGCTCAAGGCCTGCTGCACTGCTTGCCTTGCAGTGTGTGTGTGTGTGTGTGTGTGTGTGTGGGTGTGTTTGAGTGACTTCTTGGCGTGCCTTGATTGGCTTTGCCTGGCACTTGTGCTCAGGTGTGGGATGCAGGCGTTTGGATCAGTTTCTGAAGTCCCCCACCAAGTTTTCTTCTCTCAACCTGCTGGCATCTGCTGGCAACCTTTTCTCTCAGGTTTTACGCTCCGGTTCAGTCTTACTTTGTCATCAGCCGGGGACCTGCCTGCTTCGCCGCTTCGCCGCTTCGCCGCTGTGTTTGAAGGGACTGATGGCCAAGGCCGAGCAATGCGACCCAAGAACGGCGCTGCAATGCCGTGTCAATGGCTAAGGACGAAACCGAGTGGCGATTTCTCTAGTGGGCGTTTCTGTGTTCAGCAATCTGATGCTGGAGCCAACCCAAGTTGCCCTTGCAGGACCGACGACTTGTTGAGTCATGTCTTCTGCTTCCTTCTACCTGAGGAGTGGCTTGGCAAGACTGACTCGATCTGAGCTTCTTGAAGTCTTGTCAGTCTTTGGTTTCAATTGGGCAAGGAGTGGAACAACATGTGAGGGGGTGGAGACAGTATCGAAGTACTTGTCATGTGCTACCTCAACTAGAAACACTCCTCTTGGTCAAGAGTTGTGCGCTGTTGTATTCTACAGCATGACATTGTTTGACTCCATGACAACATTGGACGGAGGGTCGTATCTGGCCAAAGTGGAAGGTTCTTTCACTCAGCAGGAGTTCTGGAGATACGTTTTAAACCCGTCTATTGCTGTTCAACTTCGTTATGCCTCCTCATCGACACTTTCCGCTCCACGCCTTTCCACAAGGCGAGGGGGATCCCGAATCCCGCCAGAAACTTCACCCTGGTCGCATGCGTGCTTGCGTGCAAATTTGAGGAGGAAGAGGGGAAGAAGTGTAGATTCGCGTGCTTTCCACCATCTTTTCGGCGTAGGGAAGCACGCTCCTTTCTGGCTACTGCTTTATTTGCTGCTGCGTTCTTTGTTCGCAAACACGTTGTCTGCATGCTCGACCAAGAAACACAGATGTGGTGAGACCGGCAAGATGAAAAGGTGCAGGGTTGACAGACAAACAAGTGATCAACCATGTGGCTTCAGCAAGGTGAGCAACCTAGGGAAGCGAGTTGAAGCTCAGGATTGAGAACGCGTTGAAGTCCTTGACCTCGCGGCTTTGATGCCTGCGCTCGTCTTGGAGGACATTTGAGAACTCAGGCTTGTGCAACGACGCAGCGAGATGGCTGCGAGTGCACAATGGTGCACTGAAGCTCGGCGATTTGAAATCTTGACCGGAGAGGAGCACTCCTCTGGTGCCCAGTCTGGCAGAAACAGTCGTGGGTATCGAGCGCTGCTCACATCTTGCTTTGCAAATTGCAGGGCGGATTTTCCGAAACTTTGCTGGACAGCCAGACGCCCGTTCAGGGCTGCTCAGGGACGGAAGCTGAGAGCTCGATGTCCACCATTTGAATCCTGATCGCCTTTGACAGATCAGGATAGATTCTAAAGTAAGGGTGCATGTTGACGCTCTGACAGATGGGGGTCAGAGTTCCGCCAAGAGACAAGTGCATTGGGGCACTGTCGTTCTTGGGTGCACCTGCTTGATGAATCCAACGATTTCTGGCCGTGCAGGCCGACCAGTAGGATTTCTCGCAAGGTGACCTGCCAGGCGAAGCGAACACCGAAGTTCCCACTTACACTCAAGCTCAAAGCGTAGACGCCGGGTGGGTCACGAATCAGTATATCTGCTTTAGCTGACATTTAATAGCAGCTCGAGCTAGTGCTCGGAGCAAGGCTTGCGCCATAGGATGAAAGCCTGAGCGGGTGGAGGGCACCCCTTCAGCGCCCTGGGGATCGGGCAAGATATGATCAGACGGCCGCAGATCCCGCAGATCAAAAGAGAGCGCTTATTTGGCCCAATTCCTGCTATGAAGTCAAGGCTTCACAAGAGTGTGGGCATAAAAAAAGTCATGTTCGCTGACCTTGGGCTTTGGGCATGTTGGAAAGACGCAGGTCTTAACATTGGCATCTGCGGCGTCTTCCTTGAAGAGGCTGAGTGGCTATTTGTCAGTCCGTTTGGGCAAATGCCCCTGTCCGCTGCGGAGGACCCCTCCGCAAAGCTCTGTGCAGAACTTGGAATTTGTGGCGAGAAGTCTTTTTGCTGCAGTTGCAAGAGATGATCAGCGACCATGGTTGATTTTGGATGACAGACCACAGGGTTTCCCCAAAAAAGCAGGGCGAGGAGGGTGGCTTGTCTATTTGGGTTTTTGTTGTTTGAGAGTGCCCTTTTCCTCTTGGTTCAAAGGACAACCACCATTCTTGGGCTCCCTATTTCAACACGTACCCTTTTTGGGGAATGGAATTGGTTCCCACGTGAAATCAGACCAAGGTTGCAGTGCAAAGCACGGCAGAGAAGCCGCCTGCAACCTGTGTAGCAGCAGCAGCAAGCAAGGAGGCTTCGGGCTTTGCAGAGACTTGTTGCGCCAAGCGCCAGCCGAAATACTTTTGAATGGGTATGTGTCAAAATAGGTCAAACTACGGACCTGAAAACGCGGGGATTCCCTTTTCCCTTGAAAGCAACCCTAAGAACAGGACCCGAAACACGAGCGTGACATTCGCCAAGTGCGCCAAGCGCCAGCCAATGCATAGGGAACGATGTCCAAATCGACGTGGAATCCAAGACTTGCCACGAATGGTAGAAGCTTTGATACGTGCGCGTTTGTCAACAGAATAGGGGTCAAAGGGGTTCCGAAATTTGGAGAAACTCAGCGTCCCTTGCTCCAGGCCCATGGGCTGCGGAGGCCCCAAGCTTGCAGCCTTGGGCCTTGTGCTGACACCCACAGTGAGTCGCTTCGCGATTTTCGCTTCTGAATCTTGGCGCTCAGCCTCGGGATTGCGTCAAGTCTTGGCTCGTTTTGTTTGTTTGACCACTCCTGGGTGGGAACCAAATCGTTGGGGCGCATTGAAGTGCGCTCTTGATCCAGTGCAGGCCAACGCCTTTGAGCTCTCATAACCAACAGGCCGAGAGGGAGAGAGTTCGTACTCTGGACTAAGAATTTTCAACAGCGCCAAATGCTTGCTTCAACGAGACCAATGAGTCACTAACGAACTCCCCAATTTCCATGTTGTTTGGGAACAGCGCTTGCATGCTCGATCAGAAGCACTGGCTGTTGTCTCGGATCAAGGACAAGTCGATCATAAAATGGCGCGTGTTGTCAAACTTGGTCACTGGCCAAGCTTCCTACTGTACAGCGTTCAGGCACAAGATGTCGATGTCAAGGAGATGAGACCAGCAGCAGCTGTCCGATCCTTGGTAGCTGCGGATGTTTCCTTGATCGCCCTTCATCAGGCTGATGCGGACTTGACTGAAGACAAGACCAGAAGGTTGAGACCACACATGCACGCCCTGATGGGTGGGTTGGGAGGCAAATGCGTTGGCGATGCTAGCATTTGCAATCAGAAATGCAGCTCTGACTGCCTTTGCGGAGCTGTTATTGCTGCTCCATGCAATAGATTATCCACCGGAGTAGTTTCATTATTTTGAGGATTGATGCGTTACACATTATGATCAGTAAAGCCGGCCGAGGCGGGGGGCGAAAGTTTCAAACAACAAGAACTATAGTTTGGAGCACGCTTCTTTTCCCCGTCCCTCTCTCTCTCTCTCTCTTTGTCACTCTCTTACTCTTTCTCATTTTGTTTCCTCTTCCTCTTTCTCTTTCTTGTTGCCCTGTCTTATCCCTTTTTCTTAGTTCCCTATCTGAGTTGTCTTTCTTTTTTCTCTTTCTTTTTTCTCTTTCTTATTCATCTTTCCTCTCTCTCTTTCTTATTGCTCCTATATTTAAGGGCTGCCGCCCTGTGCCGCCGGCCCCTGCTTGCTGACAGGGGACGTTGTTACGGCAATTATGACTACGCTTTTTTTGGCGAGTTTCACGGCACATTTAAAGCAATATGAAAAAGAAGAGCAGCACGAAAATGATGATGTTTTTGATGATGCATTTTTCCCAACATTAGGGATGCTGATAATTATTACTATGCATTTGCATTATCGCCAGCAGTTATGATGATATTTGTTACTTTGCATTTTTCGCATCACCAGCAGTTTTTCTGATAGTTATGACGACGCATTCCCTGCATCTCAAACAAGCCACTGCGGGATAAATTCGCATGATAATAAGCACCTTGTTGAATTTTACCAGAAGTGTCTCGGGTGTGTGGAAACTCGGGCAGGAAATCCATGTTGGGGGCCTTTTTTCTTCTTCTTTTTCTTATTCTCAAGACTTCGATGTATTGCTGTGGATGCGAAGTGTGGACTTTGTGCCATCGCTTTGTCTTCGCGAGAAGTAAGCCGTTAGGAACACCTCGGGATGCAATCAGATGGTGATGGTGATGATGATCATGATGATGATGAACTATGCACCCCCGGCATCACCAGCAGTTATTTTGACAATCATGACTACGCATCCCCTGCATCTCAAATCAGTCTAACGGCACACATGTATGTGAAAAAGAAGAACGCCACGGTTTTGGTGCTGAACATGATGAGGAACAGGATGATGAAAATGATGATGATGATGAACATGAACATGATGATGAACATGATGATGATGACGATGGCAATGGCGATGATGATGAACATGATGATGATGATGATGATGATGATGATGATGATGATGATGATGATGATGAACACCACCATCATCATTTTCATCATAATGTTCATCATCATGTTCATCATCATATCATCATCATCGCCATCATCATCATTTTTTTCATGTTCATCATCATCATCATCATCCTGATGATAATCATCACTGCCCAGCAGTTAACGCCCTCACTATGCGTCCCCAGCATCCGCAGCAGTTATCTTGACAACGCATCCTCTGCATTTCCAGTTGGGTCTATCGGCACACTTGAAGCGTATATGAAAAAAGAAGAGCCACGGTTTTGATGATGAACACGATGAGGAACCCGACTGGAAATGCAGAGGATGCGTTGTCATGATTGTCATTTTGAGGAACATGATGATGCAAATGATGATGATGATGAACATGATGAGAATGATAAACATGATCATGATGATGAAGATGATGATGATGATGATGATGTACATGATGAAGATGATGAACACCACCATCGTCACTTCGTCACTTTCATCATGACTTTCATCATCACCATCATCATTTTCATCATCATGTTCATCATCATCATCATCATCATCATCATCATTTTCATCATCATGTTCATCATCATCCTGATGATAATCATTGTTACGCATCCTCAGCATCACCAGCAGTTAACGTCATCACTATGCATCCCCAGCATCAGCAGTTATCACATCATGACAACGCATCCGTGCATTTCCAGTCGATTCTAACGGCACACTTGAAAGATGAACACGATGAGGAACATGATGATGAAAATGATGATGTGATGATGATGATGATGATGATGATGATGATGATGATGATGATGATGATGATGATGATGATGATGATGATGATGAACATGATGATGATGATGATGATGATGATGTTGATGATGATGATGATGATGAACATGATGATGATGAACATGAACATGATGATGACGAACACCACCATCATCACTTTCATCACCATGGTTATCATGTTCATCATCATCATTATCATCATCATGGTTATCATGTTCATGATCATCATTTTCGTCATCATGCTCATCATCCTGATGATAATCAACACTATGCATCCTTATCATCACCAGCATTTCACGTCATCAGTATGCATCAACAGCATCAGCAGCACTTATCATGACAATCATGACAACGCATCCTCTGCATGTCCAGTCGGGCCTAACGGCACACTTGAAACGTACATGAAAAAAGAAGAGCGCCACGGTAATGATGATGATCCGGATGCTGTGAACCATCACCAATCATCACTAAGACCAGGACAAAGACAAGCCCTTCCCATGCGCCTCCCCATTGGAGAAAGGGGTCGGCGGATATTTCCCCAGCGTAGAAATGTGAAACACGCAAAAACCATGAGTTTTCTAGGGTCGACACACCCTGAAAGTCGCAGAGGGTTTCGCGAGCGAAGCGAACATCGATGAACAACCACGAGTTTTTAAGGCCGATCCGCCCAAAGTGCGCAGAGTCGCGCAGTGCCAATGGGCCCGTTGGCGCACCCGTTCCACACCCGCTCCG